ATCCCACGACCTCCCGCCCCTGACAGCACGCTGGCCCGTGCCCCTGAGCGGCCCTGCGCCAGGCAGGGATTAGGCTTCTTTCATTTCCTCCAACCGACGCCTGCCAAAGCCACCCATGTCTAGTTCTCGCGTCCCTCCTACCCCCAGCATCCAGTCCGCGCGCCCTGCCAGGCCGTCCCCAAAAGCCATGTTTCCCCCTGGCTGCCACCCTCCTCCACTACCCGCAGCAAGCTGGTTTTGAGCTCACAATCCATCGGTCGCGTAAAGCTGCTCCACGCCTCCGCCCTCGCTCTCTCAACCCCGTCGCTCGTCTTTGCCCGGCTTGCTGCTGCTACTCTGCCGTTTCAACTGGCCCAATCTCCCCAATGTGTTCGTCCTAGTCCTTCACTGTCATTATACTACTCCTGCACTGGTCCCCATCTGCATCCACTCCCTCCTTCTCCCTCTTCACCGTCCCACGCCCAACTCGATAGGACCCAACTCGACCTTCTCGCAATGGCTCCCTCTCTGAGCCTGCGCCCTCGCACCGGCGCCAGCGAGCGCCCCCCAACCAGAGACAATGCCGACCACAGCCTCATCATCCCCAGCCGCACCTCGTCTCTCCACTCGAGAATCACCCAGCCGCTCCCCTCCACCTTGAACGTCAAGCAGGGCGCTAGAAGCCCAAAGACGCTTACCCATGCCTACATGGTTTGCGGTGTTGGCCGAGAGCCCTCACAATGGGTCAAGGCGCCCGCCCCCGCCCAGGGCAAGATTGGCCACATGAAGGGTGCCGTCGGAACTTTCTGGCTGCCCGAGATCTTGGGAAGCAGCCCCAGGCTCGAGCAGGACAACGAGATTGCCAGGTCTCTGCACTCGGCCATGAGGGTATGTTTGCAAAATGCCTCACAATTTCCCCATTGTCACTTCGGTCTGCTAATCCATATTGCAGGCATGCTTCCCTCACGATGTCGAGATTTGCACTGGCAGAAGCCAGCCCCACTGCGTACACCACTCGTTCGTTTTGCAGCAGGATTCCTCCCACACTCTGTACGGTATTGCGCTCCGTGTCTGGTCGCGCGCCGACGAGAAGAGGGCCGAGACCATTCGCGACCTGCGCAAGCGAATCGAGCCCGACTTCTACGACAACCCAGAGGAAACATACTGGATCCCCTACTGCCTCAGCTTCCTCTCGCGCTATCCCTTGTACAACTTGCTCGGCGACTACCTCCGCGGTATGTGGATTCACTGGAACAAGGCCACCAACCTGTTCCACGCTGAGGAAGTATCTCGCATCCTCAGTTTCCCCGCACCACGTCTGAACGACCTGGTCCGCATCGACATGAAGGACTACGCTCTGTGCTACCAATTCCCCTCCTCGCCCACCGGCTTCCAGAACTTTGCCATGTGGCCCCTCTTCACCTGCCTGTCCATTCCCAACATTGTGGGCGTCATCGAGGCCGCCTTGTCACCAACCCGACGCATCATCTTCACCAGCCACTACCCCGCCATGCTCACCGTCGCAGCCGAGACCGTGCGCTTTTGCGTAAGGGTGTACGAATGGAGCGGTCTCTACGTGCCCGTAGTTCATGCGCGTCACGTCAAGGATCTAGTCCAGGAGCCTGGTCCGTACATCCTTGGTGTCACCTCAGAATGTCGTTCGCTCTTCACGGCCCCAACTGATGCTCTGGTTGTCGATCTAGACCGTAACTTTGTGCTTACATCAAGTCCCCCTACTGCTCTTTCGGCTGGCCAGAGGACCAAGATGATCACTCGCCTGACCCAGGCTCTCAATGGCGAGGTCGCACCAACAGGTGTGCCACAGCATCTGCGGTCAGCCTACGGTGGTGGCAAGCTCATTCCAGCTGGCCAGATTATCGTCATGCGTGGTGAGGTGGAGAGCATTCAAGACCCCGACTGGTGGTCGCAGGATTCTGTCATGTCCGTCATGGACCACGTGTGTGAGAAGCTTGTAAGTACCTCCCCAGACCATTCAACGCAATCTTACTTGCATCTAACATTACCTTCAGGGCCGAAACACTGGAGTCAAGGCAATCTTTGGCGGTTCCGTCAAGAAGCCACTCATGACCAAGGTCTCTATGCGTCACCTGAACGAGATTGTGCGCGAGCGCAACCAATACTCACGTGATGCTCAAGAGGCTTGGACCGACTTTATCAACCTTAAGCAACGCATGGACAGCGAGCTGGGCAAGGTCACCAAGCGAAACAACTTCTTGGTCGAGGAGCTTGAGAGCTGGAAGCAGCAATTCCTCAAGTTCCAAGCTTTCGCCGAGCAGCTTACCAAGGAGACCCAGGATCTCAAGGTCAAGATTGAGAACCACAAGCGTGAGAACCGCCGTCTCACCGGCCTCATTGATCAGCAAAAGGACGATGCTGCCAGACTCACTGTCCGCCTCTCTGGCACTGAGAAGCAGCGCGACGATGCTCTCGAGGCTCTCGTCCTTCAGCAGGAGATCGCCGAGGAGCTCGAGCGTGAGAGGAAGAAGAACAAGAAGGAGCTCAGCGCTCTTCAGCACACCAACTCTGCTATCCTCCGCCAGCGCGACGAGGCACAACGTGTTGTTCTTCATCTCCGTGCTCTCATCGAGGGCCAGACTCACCACATGGAGCACATTGTCAAGTCTCTCAACCAGGACGACATGTCAAACTACATGGAAGCTGGCTTCGATGATGTGCCTGAAGAGGACGAAGAGGACCATTTCCAAGATGCCGAGACCAAGTCTCAGGCACCTACCCACCGTTCTATCAAGGACAAGTCTGAGGTTGGTACCATCCGTGGCGTAGCTGGTGTCGACAGCCGCCAGGAGTCAAGAGCAAGCACTGCTCAAGGCAAGCACCTCGAGGGCGAGGATGTCTCACCAGACATGGAGCACCGTCTCTTCAACAGCCCTGCACGCAACTCCAAGCGCTTCTCGAACCAGTCCATGGTCGATGTTGCTGACCGTGTCCTCCGAGACAAGACCGATGCTATCGCATACATCATCCGCAACATTTCCGAGCAATGCGCCGCAGCTGTAGAGGGTCTTCAACTCGCCCAGCGCGCGGACATCGAGGAGGATCACCACAGTGATCGTCGCAGTAGCGTCGGACAAATGTCGCACGGCGGCCGCACCCAATCCACCATTGGCAGCGAGTATGGTGACGAGGAGAGCATGCTCCGCCCCGGTCGCGGATCAAGCATCCCCCCCACCCCAGACCTAAGCCACAGGTCCAGCACTTCCATGTCCATGGCCAGCGCCAGCACAACACCAGACCGGTCAAGCCTACAGCACCGATCTCACGACGTGCCTGTTGTGCCAACACGCATCTTGGAAGACGATGACGATGTCGAAGGCAACGGTAACAACGACCTCCATTCTGACATGGTGCCCGTTTCCAAGTACGCACAGCCGCTTGGAAGGCCCAGCGGTAGCATGCGCCACATGTCGTCGCGTTAAGTGAAAAGCGTACAAGAGACAAGGACTCTCTTGGTGTTTTGAATACTTGTTATTTTTCCTTGTTTTTGAACAATCTTGATTTATCATTAGCGATCGAGACGAGATTAGCATTGATGCCCTTTTCCTATCCTTGAACTGGCGTTGGCGTCCTTCTCCTTTCTACTTTCTACATGGATGGAGGCCCAGTGCCTTCATATCTCAAAGTTATTTCGTTCTCCTTTTGCATCTTCTCTCATTACCATCTTTGAGAGAAGCTTTTTTTTTTCAATCTTAACGAACCCGGAATGGGGGCTTATTCCTTATGTACGTTTTTTTTATTGCGACGAGTGAGATAGCTGAATCACTCATTTTTTTTTAACCTCTATTTCTCTCATACCCTTCGGCGAAGAAGAGAGGAGGGAAAGAGGAGACCAAAACTCCCAGGGAGGAAATTAAGCTATAGGTGGTAGGAACGGGGTGTTGGGCTAGAAAAGAGGGAATGGATGGTGATGGGGGGTTATAAGGAAAGGAGGAGCAGGGTCCCATCTTGTACAAGGCGGAAAACTGGTCTGCAATAGTCAGTCAGTTGCCTTGGCCCACGCCTTTTTCGGTTTTTCTCATCACTGGCTTTGGATGAGCTGGTTTTTTTGAGATTTTGTGGGGGGTGGCTGTCTGACCTTGTGTATCTCTTTATTTTTCCTTTTATCTCTCTCCCTTGTTGTCGTGTCGTCGTCGTCGTTGGCTGGTTGCTAGGAATAACATACCACATTTTTCCTTGTTGTCTTTTAATTCACCTATTTTGATGTGTTCGTGCCTCTCTCTCCCCTCTCTTATCTGTCAACTGAGTGAGGCGATTCTTTCACCCTGATTCTTTTAATATCATAGTAATAATACCCTTTTGTAGATTTTGGATCAAAAAAAAGTTTTGCTTCACATGTTTTTTTCTTCATTTCATGTCTCGTCAGATTGACAAAACACTGCTGGTTAGATATAGAAAAGATTCAGATTTGGATATGAACACCAACTCGCATCTACATAAACTTGTTTTTATAATAGAACTTGACATAGAAGCTATGATTATCTACTACCGCCTGACTTTTTTCTCTCTGTTTGCTATGTAGCGTATCAGATCAATTATCTCAGAAAAGAATGGCAGGCCACACCCCAACCTGCCGGAATCGGGTATCAAAAAAANATTCGGTTACGATGAAGGCGTGACTTTACAGTCAAAGTACATAACCTGATTATCTACTACATGCATGCTATCTGCCATGAAACGTCTAATCCCTGAGCTTTACTGAAATCCTATCAGTACATGTACTTTGTAGATAACCAGTGCGTGGTTTTGGCATTCCTAAGGAGTTGCATTGTTGTGGTAGGGGCAGTTTTAGGCCCCCAACAGCAGAGAGACAACAGTGCGAGTAGGCTGTGTGCTTCTTGCTTTACCGGAAGGCGGGGTTACAGGGCTGAGCCAGGTCAGTGCCCGGGTCCTTCATGCTTCAAAAACCTACTCTTGTTGCCTGCTCCTAGCATCATCATCATCATCTCCACACTGCCTTGACTGTATTTTCTCTTGTTGCAGTCATGCGACTTCTTCACTTTGATCAGTCTGGCCGACTCACCTTAACAGACTTTCGCGGGAAGCCTATTCCACCATATGCTATTCTTTCACACAGATGGGAGGAATCAGAAATTACCTTTGAAGACATAGATAGCGGGACTTACAAAGAAAAGAAGGACGGCTATCGCAAGCTTTTGTTCTGCTCTACACGTGCGGCCCAAGACCAGCTCCAGTACTTCTGGATTGACACGTGCTGCATCAAACGATGGGACAGGCTTGAGCGCTCACGAGCGATCAAATCAATGTTTCTCTGGTACAGCAAAGCGACTAAATGCTATGTGTTCCTATCGGATGTACCCAATGTAACGGACATATTACAGAGCAGCAACTGGGAGGCATCCTTCCGGTCAAGCGCGTGGTTTACTCGAGGCTGGACACTCCAAGAGCTGATTGCGCCAGCATCAGTGGAATTTTTCTCTTGCGGGGAACAACGGCTAGGGGATAAGAGGTCTCTGGAGCAACTAGTGCATGGAATTACCAAAATTCCGCTCGCAGCACTACAGAATCATCACTTAGACCAGTTCTCTCTACACGAGCGAATGCATTGGGCCGACAATCGCATCACCACCGAACCAGAAGACATTGTGTACTGCCTTTTTGGACTTCTAGGTGTAACCATGCATATTAACTATGGCGAAGGGAAGAACAAAGCATGGAGAAGACTTCAAATGGAAATAGAAGCAACTAGCAGCACACCTTCCGTCATTCCATTTTCCCGCAACGAGCATTTTGTCGGACGAGAGTCTCAGCTTGCCACTCTACAAGCAAATTTGTTTAGCAAAGACCATATTACAACAACAACTAGATTGGCTATAGTAGGACCTGGTGGAACAGGCAAATCACAGCTGGCGCTAGAAATTGCATGCAGAGTAAGAGAGGACATCAAGACTTGCTCAGTGTTTTGGTTGGATGCAAGCAACATCGACAGTCTTGAAAGGTCGTACGAGACCATCGCCCGAAGGCTCAATATTCCTGGATGGGACGACGAAGAGGCAGACGCAAAGCAGCTTGTAAAACTTCATCTTGAAAAAGAGGACACGGCACATTACTTGCTGATCTTCGACAACCTAGACGACATCACGCTACGAGCTGGTGAGATATTGTTAGCAGGGGAAGTAGGTTTGACTGCCTATCTACCTGAATCCACGCGATGCTCTGTCGTTTTTACAACAACCGAAAGCAGTCTGGCTCAACAAATGGCATCGCACACGCTTATAGAGTTGGAGGAGCTGACACCATATGCCGCCAAGGAAATGTTGAGGAACTACTTGAATAGAGACAAAGATTTCGATTCAACCGAGGAGCAACAAGCGAGGCTTTTGCTGCAAGAGCTTTCACATCTTCCGCTAGCGATTATCCAAGCAGCAGCTTATATCAATGTCACGGCTGTATCACTTAAGGATTACCTATCGAAATTGAAGACGCCAAACGACTACGATGTCAAGCAAGATAGCGGACCATCAAGGGACACACTGCAGAGGGGGAGAGCAAAGGATCCCGTGGCTAGCACTCTGTTCATCTCCCTCGACGAGATCTGCCGTAGTCATGCGCTTGCAGCAGACTATTTATTACTTGCAGCCTGCGTGGCCTCCAAGGATATCCCGTTTGATTTCTTCGAAGACGAGAATATTCGAGAAAGAGGAAATGCTATACATGAACTCAGTAAATACGGGCTAGTCACTCGGCGGCCCGAAGATTCTGCGTTGGACTTGCACCGACTGGTTCATTGTGCATTGCAGGAGTGGCTTCAGCAGCAGAATCTATATCAGGAGCAGGTTGAGCATGCCATCACAAAGCTATCTCAGGTCTTCCCAGATGGCAGTCATCAGAATAGGAGTAAGTGGAGACGATTGTTTCCGCATACCAAGTGCGCTCTGTCGTACATGTCTCCTGAAGTAGAGAGTGGCCAACGGTTACATCTAACATGGCAATACGCAACGGCAATTTTCCGTGATGGACGACATAATGAAGCGGAAGAGCTGTATACGCAACTGGTGGAGATGGAAAAGAGGGTACACGGGGATGAGCATCCTGATACACTAGCTAGTAT